CTCTCCGGTAGTGTTGGACACCGTCCCATCGGACTATGAGAGTGAGGGAATAGAGAGTGCACTAGTGCTTGCGCATACACTTGAGCACTATAACCCTGCCCTGCGCTATCCTGATGGCTAGTCTGTGTCGAGACTGGCCACCGTGACCGAAATTCGGTCTGGAGTACTTTATTATCAAAGGCGAATTTTAAAAATAGGCCGCAAAACACTTTGTCGGCACGTAATTTGATCGTGGCTCAGCGTAGGTCATTAATTAATAAAATAGTTCGTTTGCTGACACGTTACCGTATTGAGAGCATTTAAGCGAAATGTAGGCCGACGCACTACGTCATGTATAATTTAACATAAACACAACACTTTAGCACCAACTCTAATCTAGGTTAGGAATAAATACGAGTATGTAGAAATTTTAATATCTACGTAAGCTATAATCAACGGTTGATCGGTGCGTAATACGTGCGTGCGTTTTACATTCTTAGCGTTTCTTGTTAGTCTGTGTACGCTCTACATATACAAGTATATTTTTATAAAAATGTAATAAAAATATGATGAAGATAAGTAGATGTTTTGGTCCATAGACACGTATGTTTACCGTAGATTAAGAATCAAAATGCAAATAGCTATGATATAAGTAATAAAACTATTTTACGTATATTATTACTCTCACCGTTACTATTAAAAGTCCACGGCTGAACATAATCCTCCTATGTAGGAGATCCTATCTATGTAGATTGCCATAGTTGCCTCGATTAGTAGCCAGGTTGACAACTGCAGTTCTTTATTATTTTAAGTTTTTATCAGGAAGATGCTCTTGGTTTGTTTGCCTCTATCGTTTCTTGTAACGCCCACGGGACAATATGGGGTAGTGAATAATCTTACACCAACTCCCTGATATATCGCGATTAATTTAATTTTTTTAATTACCCACGTTTTGGGTGCTTAGTACCCATGGTAATCGGGGACTGAGGTCCTGATGCCATAATACCTTGAAAGTAGCCTTAAGATGAAAATATTTAGTTTTATTCAATTTTTATATAATTATTTTGATGGATCTATGGCGCAGTGGCTTAGCAATGAGTAAAGTTTCTATTTATTTTTTTATTTAATACTTCAGACATCTATAATTACAGGTCAAACCCAATGCGATAGTGTCCTCCTTTTCATTATAAACTAAATCTTACACTAATAATATTAAAATTTATGCAGCTAAAGAAAGTAATAAAATAATATAAACATTAAACAGCAAACAGCAAAACAAGAAAATTCAAAATCAGCTAAAAATAAAACAAAATAATAACCTAACAGTAACAGATAATATACAAAATGACCTTTGCTAATTCACTATAGTGGCAACTAAATATGTCAGTTTTAACATGCACGGCTGACCACGTGAAGAGCTCGAGTTAGAGCCGTTTTTGCGAAGATCAGTACGTGCTGAAGGCACGGCAAGCAGTGGCGGATGCCTCCGTTTCGTCACGTAGCGATCTGACACACAGAGACTCAAGTGCCGTAGAACTCCCGGGTTATGTTCTTTGTATAACTAGCAAAAGCAGACTCTCGACGTACTTCTAATTTATTATATACTACCATACCCAGTACAAAAAGAATAGAAAATATTAACGGATAAAATGGATATACCCCGTAAAGCTTAAAGTGTAAGTTCCAACATAACATTATACTTTTCTTCATACGGAGCTCATATTACTGCATTATGTTCCAGGTGACTCCTAACTAGTGCGTCGTACAGGGCTCTTACTGCAGACATGTTGGAAAAACCTCGAGTCTATAAGTACGAAACCTAGGTTCCGGCACATGAGTAAAGAAAACGACCAGAGGGGAAGGTACAAGGAAGGTACACCCACACATAGCGCAGCGATGTGTGCGTGAGCTCTCACAAGTTCACCGACGCTCCGTCAGGGTACAAACCGGTTTGCACCGGCTCAGTCAGAGTGTGATTGAAAGGGCTGTTGGTCACGCGCATTGAAATAAATAGACGAATAATATTTCGTGATTTTATAGATCAAAAAATCTATTAATTTTTTTTACAATTAGAGTTAAGTCACAGAATAAATAACAGTACTAACGTCTTCTTTACTCTGTGGTTCCGGTATGCCTTTTTACATATATTAGTAATGTGAACACGAAACGACAATTCTGCGGTAAAGCAAACTCCAAGATCACGCATGTTTCACTCTTTGTATCGGTGTTGTGTCTATTTTATACACACAGAAAATGGGATTTTGCGCGCGACATTACTTACATTTTGATACGTTAAAACAAAGTCTGTTCCTATTGCTCCACTCCACTATTCTATTAATGTCTTAGTAAACAATTGTCGAAAAAAATCCTCGTCAAATTTATGTAAGTATGTAAACTACACCCACGATACAGGAGAAAATCCTAGGGAGGCGATAAAATTTTTTTAAGCAAAGAGGATTAATTGGCATTTTGGCGGGAACTTGACCGGCGGCGGTTTGCTGCTCCTGTATTAGTGTTTAAATAATGGTTTGAAGTGGACTTTGATATGTAAAAGTGGTGCGATTTTGTGTATTAAGTGTCTACGGAAACGGTGAAACAAGTGCTCTGATGGTGATGTGATTCTCAAGATAAGCTGTTTGTCTGCATAGGCGCCATGAGATACCATCGCCAACCGTCAGCTGTCTGCTGGCTCAAGTTGCCGTTAAAATCTCCCAAGGGGTGCACAATGTGACGCATCAACATATTGTGAAGCAGTGTACTATGAAGGATAATTATACATTTGTACTATGAAGTGTAATTATACATTGAAAAATGGACGACATGGCTGACGCACAACCCGTGCAGGCCAAGAAAGGGAAAAAAACGACTAATTCAATGGGTAGGTATATAAATATAAGAAATTATAAAGAAGGTGTTGCCAAAGAACAATTGCGAAAAGGAAAGCGATCATCGTGCCTGCAATTTTTCACATGTCACTAGTATCAAGCAAGAAATGAGTGCGTGTTGTCCGTGCCAGTGGAATAAATAGGGTTAACATTTAACAACAATGGCATACGATCGCGTGACCCTGAGGTCGTCGGTGCCTGCCAGATTAAAATCAGCACGGCGACTCGACAATAAAAGGGACCACTCGTGTAGTAGACTTAAGATAAATGACATGTCGGAAGATTATGATATGAAACAAGGGGATTTCAATGTATATTATCGGATATTTCTATACGTTCACAGTATAAAACAAAGTCGCTTTCCGCCGACTGTACGCTTAGATCTTTCAAACTACGCATCGGATTTTGATGCGCTTTTTCATCAATAGACAGAATGATTCAAGAGTAAGGTATGTTGGGGGGGGGGGGGGGGGCTTGGTGGCGACTTGAGGCGCGGATATGGACACCGAAAACGGTTCCGGTTTTGGGGCAGGCAGCTGAGAGCGAGACGCACTGGCTGGGCATAATACATGCATTTTATTAATTCCAATATTCAATTTTTTTGTCCGTGTGTATGTGACTGAATTCATCCTAAACGGTTGGACGGATATTGTTTATTAGAGCATGGTTTAGATTCATAATTCGTCGTTGACGTCGCAAAGGGGCGAACCTCAATTTTCAAAAAATTACAGGAGAACAAGAAAACATTTATTATTCCCCGATTACTAGCTTTTTTCATTAGAGAGAGATGTCGAGATTCATAAATCAACCGTGCGAAGCCGGGGCGGGTCGCTAGTCTAATATATGTTAGTCAAATAGATTTTTTTGAAAATGCTAACAATGCTATTAACATCACTAAAATTCCCCTTGAACAATCCTGTTAAGCTTAAAATGTCTGTGTTAGGAGTGGTCCACTACAATAGGCGAATGGCGGATTCGAACCCACAACCATTTGAGGTCGCGGTCCGCACCCTACCATTAGGCTACTGTCAGATAAGTCTAATAGAAATAGAAACTTTTTTATTCAATATAGATCATAAATAATACTTATTGAAAGTCACTCTTAGATATGTTTAATTTACCATTGAATATATTTCATACATTATATTTTCATTGCCAAATATCGTCCCGTGGGTGTCGTAACAGGTGACAAAGGGACACTGAAACAGCAGATGGGAAGCAGAATCTTCTTGATTGAACAACTAAAAATAATAAAAACTGCGTGCAGTTGCCAACCCGCTTGCCAAAAAGTTATCTATTTTTTCTTGTTAAATAAATTTCACACATGATTACAAATATTATTTTGAAATGCGCAAAATATGTGATGAAAGAAAAAAGAAAGACACAAAGAAACATTTATTGCAACGTTGATGAGACATTACTGTCATGTAGGTACGTAGGTAGTTAGCGAAAATAATAATATAAAATTTCAATTGCACTGTCTATGATATGTTATCATTTGATGTGGGGTTCCATAAAATGGGAGGGATTTGGTTAGTGTTCCACTACCTTAAAAGTTTGGGCACCCCTGATATAGAGTAGTAACTTACGCCTCCGTTGCACCGCGAAATATCAATTGGTCTACAAATAATTACTTCTGGGTATAGATGTTTGTTCATGTGACGCCTCCATGATGCTGGAGACATTTCCAGTGTGGGCGTAACGTTTTATATAAAATATATTAAAGTGAAAAATATATAATCTGAATCAATAACATTTAAAATTTTAAAAAGTAAAACTGAGGTTTAGAAAACTAAAAAGAATATAATCATCGAAATCGGTTGACTTCTGAGGTACCCCCTTTCTATTCTGACAAAAAATATCCTTAGAAAAACTGTTCTTTATAGAAAATTAGTAACCGGCCCCGACTTCGCACGAGTGGTTTCCGAATCTCGACCTCAGCGCCACCTACCGGATCCAATTATGTATTTCCAGAGACCCACTCAAACACACTAATAAGTTTCATGAAAATCGTTTAGTAGTCCCCTTTAACGAGACACCCAGCGGACGAAATGGGGAAGGATTCTCGTAAGCCGCAACCACACATCTAAACCAAATATTGTATACGTTTTAGTTAACAAATGATGTTAGACTCACCAATGGTCTTATTTATCCAATCAGCCAGATCCTCCTGAAGCGGGAACAACTGTCTCGCCTGCGAGTACAGTATCTTCTCCCGGTAGAAGTCCTCGTCTTCAGAGCAAGGCGTCTGTGCCGCCAGGGCGCAGTCCGCCCTCTCGAAACTGCTGCTCATCTTGCGGTTCACCACTATGTCACTGTGACCAACATGCCGTTCCTCTTCCCTCCCCTCGAACGTACTCCGCACGTATTCAAACGCGTTGGTCCTCTCGAAGGCGTTAAATATTCTGTCGAAGTTCCCGCTCAACGGCCGCTCGATCTTGGGTTCGGCCGGTGACGTCACCGACCAAGACGCCCTGCTGCCGATGGCTGTGGGCCCACAGCGATAGTAAGCCATGATGGCCGGTCACTCTGTAAAAAAATACTTTGGTGACTAAGTGGTAACGACATAGATAATTGGTGGCATCAGTCTAATGTGTTCAGTAATGAGACGCCTTGCTATTTAGGGTTGCCAGTTAATTAGATTTAATTAATGTTTGTAGTATGTTTTAAACTTTTAAATTATTCCCGTTTGTATGAATTAAAGGCTCTATCATTTTAAATCAAAGTGACTGTCCCATGAGGGACGCTTAACGACATCTTAAAATTGAGTAGCGGTTGAGTATTTGCTCATAAATAAAACATGTTATAATGCATTTTTCACTTTAATAAGGATGATAAACAAGCTCACAGTCCACATGATAAGTAGATGCTGTTGCCCATAAACTTCTACACCCGTCTTTGTTTCTCGTAAAAAGTGTATCAGGTTGTTCTTCACACTCACCATACGAAACTTAGCAGCGTGTTTCTTCCCCGGTAGCTACATCTTAGTATATTATACTACAACTTAGTATAAATATTGTAGTGTCCATACTAAGTTCGGATAGATCAAAAAAAGTTGAGCATTTAACACAAGAAATTGTGCCAAACGAAAACAGAATTTCCGTTCAGAAGTATTTCCCGTTCTCGCCACTTTATTAAAGGGCGACAAACGAGCACATAGTTTACCCTAAAAATTTGAGCCAATTTCAGTGTTTTTTATAATTCTAGGACGACTAACGAGAACACGGGTCACCTTCAATTTGAATCTAGACTATTTATTTATTTAAGCTTTATTGAACCTTACATATTAAGTACAGGAACAAAAGGCGGACTTAATGCTAAAATCATTCTCTGCCAGTCATCCGTAGGACAGTGATAGAACTACAAAGGCGGTTACAAAGAAATATACATACACACATACATATACATATTATACATACATATACATATATACATACATATACACACATACATACATATACACACATACATACATATATACATACATCAATATGCATAAAGATACGTAATATACCGATGACTCTAATATACAGAGATTACAACTATAGGTAATGATGATGGAACTTAGCACTTAGTTGTAAAGCAATTTTAGAAAATGATCTGGAACATTCTTTTTAAAACATTTGCAAGTAGGCTGTCTTAGTTTTTCAGGCAGGTCATTCCATAGGCGCGCGGCTTGAAAAGCAAACGATGAAGATATGAAACTCGAACGGTGAAGGGGTATAAAGAGAGCAAGAGTCTCCGATGAACGAAGCTGTCTGAGTCATGTGTGTCGCGCAGGAACTGAAACTTATGTTTCAGATAATTTGAATAGTGGTTATCGAATAAAATAGAAAAAACTGTGTTAAGTATCCTACTGTGTCTTCGCTGACTATTCTATGTAACACAATTTTTGACGTGGTCGAGTTTGAATTTAAACCCAAGATTGTCCCTGAATAAACAATAGACCGGCTAATAATTCAAGCTGCTGGATTCCAACATCGTACACTGCGACAGAACACAAAATTCTATCCTCATCATCTCAATGGTTGGTGCTAAACCACTGTGCGATTTCCGCGGAATTTTTCAGACCACACTGTGAATTTACTGTTACCAACAATTTTTACAGATTGATACGACTTAGAAACCTTCAATAAAGAGTCTGAATACTCCTTTATAAAAGGCGCCTGCAATTCCCCTGGTGTTGCAGAAGTTCTTGGGACACGTTGATCACTTACCGTCAGGTTAGCCGTATGCTTGTTTGAAAGAAAGGAAGAAAGAGATATATTAAATGGATATATTTGCCTTCTCTACCATTAAAAAATCTTCGACTAAGAAACAAATGAAAACAATTAAATTTTTTTAAAGATTATACCGATTACCGACCAATCTTGTTGATTATGGCAATGACTCCTTATGGCTATTACTTGAAATAAATTCATCAGTGGATTGTGTATTAGTGGTAATATTGACAAATCGACACATTTCACCACCATCATCATCATCAAAAGAGAAATACTATTTTCATTCTAAAAACTTTTAATCATCTCGCAGTGACAAAAACCTGCCAGCCCTAATAATGGCGCCTTTAGAATTCGAGGCAACGTTGAGTATAGAACTTTTAACACTAATTTGCATGTGAGACGAGTGCTTGCATTGTGTTTATGAGTACTCATAAAGTCCGAAGGTCGCCATAGATTATAATTAAAATACAAAAGCGGCACCGGTTTTTTTTTTTGCGAACATCGATGACGAGTTGTTAAGGAATAATTAAGTTTTTACAATAGGGTTATTACGGATATTAGTACTACCTTTGTTTACACCAAATACAGTCGCTTTCAGAAGTCTATTGGCAATCTATTATCTGATAATGACTTATACCGGGTTTCTATATTTAAAAAGGCTTCGTTATCTTTTACGAGTCTGCCGAGATTTGTCAATTAAATTTTTTCAGAAAATATACAAAATTTGACCTGCTCAAAGTTCAAAAACTTTATTAAAGAAAGTTTGTATATAAAGCGTATTATATTAAGGAATATATGGATGATAATAACCCCTGGGAATGAGGTCATCGCTACCAAGCTATTTCTAATTTTTTTGTGTGATTAGTTGTGATTGTAAGCTTTTATTTAAATTTAAAAAAGTCCCGCTGGGTTTCTTGCTGGTTCTTCCCAGGACAGAGGTTTTTTCCGAACCAGTGGTTCGAATTAAACAAAAGAGTGACTTTCAATAAGTATTATTTATAATCTATATTGACTAAAAAGGTTTTTGCTTCTGTTTCTTTTTCTTTATTGTAAAATGCTTTCGGATGCTTCTTGTCTTGCTATTTGTTCAAAAATTTAATTGACAAAGAAATAACGATACTCGTGATCCATATTGCACAAGAAGACGTAGAGTCGATTTCTAAGTACGGCTTAAGCTATTCCCGACACGTCTCCGAGTTAAGAAAGCGGGTCCTACAGCGGACCATCTGTGGGGAAAGTGACTCGCCTTTAATATTAGGACCTACCATACTGCATGTTTCTCTTGCCCTTATATATATAACAGTTTCGTAATACTGTTTATCGTATTGGATTACGTCGTTGATTCTTAATTTGTATACGTTTCTACCTGCTTCGTTGGTCTAGTGCTAGTGAACGTAGTTGCTGATCATGAAGTCCCGGGTTTGAATCCGGGTCGAGCCAATTCTGTTAATAGATTTTACTGTCAAGAAATTCTCAGCGGTGTCCCTCCCCCCCTCTTCCGTGTCTCGGTCGGCAAATAAAGCCGTTGATCCTACGCCTTATCTCTCTCCGGTCGTGTCTGATAACCGTCCCAATGGAATATAAGAGTGAGAGAACAGAGAGTGCACTCAATCATACGCTCGGACACTAAATCCTATCCTGCGCAGATGGCTAGCCTCCGTTGAGACTGGCCGTCTTGACCGAATCGGTCTGGAGGACATTATTATTAGTTTCCTTATACAGATTACCTTATTGGATTATGTTCCTTTTTAATTTGTCTACGTTTCTACTCTGTAGAAGTGTATTTATTACTCTGTAACAATTATAATAACTGGCCCAACATTCCTTGCGGCTGCAATGTCGGGTTGCTAGTCGAGGAAGACCATCGCTGCAGCATAAGTTACACTTGTGAAGAAGTGCTGTAAATGGAGTTGTCCGTTTTTTTTTATAAAACTACTGCTACTGTTGTTCATTGACACTTGCGGCTAACTTCAAACAATATCAGTTATAGATGCTTTGTCACCTCTGATTCTGAGAACTAAGATGGAATTCCTCAAAGCCCATAATTACACTGGTTCTCTATATTCTTCTGATCGATACACAGCAATGCAAGCACTTCAATTTGCGGCAGAAATAGGTTTTATTATATAGCATAGGGTGACAAACGAGCACACAGTCCACCTGATGGTAAGTGGTTGCTGTGACCCATACACATCTACATTTATCCTCGTTTGCGAATCAAAATACAGATGCGTTGTCACCCGTGAGGATTAAGATGGAATGCCTCTTTTCCAGTAAAAAGGGTCAAGGTAAGAGGGTAATACCTACAACAAACGGACTCCTAGGCAGAAATGGAGGTCTACCACCTAGTAATTTCTTTATAGACCATGGGTATTTTTACATGGTAGAGCCACGTGGCAGTCATATTAGTAGTATAGTTATAGCACAAATGGGTAAGCTCGACCGGAGTAGGACCACGCTGTCGTAGAATACCAGCATAAAATAGCAGCTTAGTTGCCCTAATTCTATAAAAAAAATCCTAGTAAATGCGTGTGGGATGTACTTAAGAGTTACTTAACCTTAGTTATCTTGGTGTCATTTCATTTAACTGTGTATAAGTAGGTGTTCTATGTTCTAGAAAACTCAAAGTTCAGAAATAATTTTCTGTATTAACTATGACTTATAATTCTATAAAGGTAATATTTCGAAAACTTGAGAGTCCACAGTGTTGCCAATACGAAGCCTTGAACTTGTGGCGGCTTTTAGATGAGTGAAAAAGCACCGGCGCCATCAAAGGATCCATATACGGCCCTTTCGTCTTTCGTGAGGTCCATACCGCGTGGGAGGGTCGTTGCTCTCATGTGAATAAGTCTGTGCACGAGGAAATCATGGCATGAATAATTGGTAAAACGTGATATGTTATTGCGATCTGACGACGATTTGTAACTGGTTTGATTGACGTGAAGTGTCATTGATAATTTATTTATTTTAAAAAGTTTTGGCGGGAAGATAAATTATTGGATTTGAAGTGGGATTTTGAGTGGTAAATTTAAAATTTTGTACAATCGACTTCTATATGAACAAAATTTATTGTTGATTTTTTAAAAACTGATCGACCGATTCGCGATAAAATTTAAATCTGTTCAGGCGTCTTCGAGTATAAAACAAAGAACATAAAAAAAAGATTTTGTTACTGTTCCTTTTTTGAAAATGGCGACATGTAAACTATTGCTGGTAAACGTATACCTACGTGTTTTATACATGGTAGAGCCACGCTCCAGCTATATTATGATTGTAGCACGAATTGTTCGGC